TCAATGCCAATGGTGTTCAAGTGGTGCTCCAGTTGTTTTGGAATTGCACCTAAGGCGCCTATTACTATTGGTACTACTTTTGCTTGCTTTTGCCACAGTCTTTCTATTTCTATTTGTAGGTCTCTGTATTTTGTTATCTTCTCCAGTTCTTTCTCGTCTATTCTGCTGTCTCCAGGCACTGCCACGTCCACTATCCAGAATTATTATTATTATTATTATTATTATTATTATTATTATTATTATTATTATTATTATTATTATTATTATTATTATTATTATTATTATTATTATTATTATTATTATTATTACCTTGGAGATCTTCTAGTTCAACCTTCTACTCAAGCAGGAGATCCTATGTCATTTCAGACAAATGACTGTCCAGTCTTTTCTTGAAAACGTCCAGCGTTGGCATTAAGTTTGGCATTCAGTTTGCACTGGGTTCACTTCTATAATCCCACCCCAATTTGGAACACATTTAAGACAGCCCATCCCTCTCTTAGGGGCTTCAGCTGGCTAGTCCCAATCACGTGGCCTCGTGTCACGAAGCTAATCTGCTTTCTCCCTCCCTGGGTGCGATTTTCCTGGAAAGAGAATAAACAGAAATGGTGAGACTTTTCAGGAAAGGAAACAGGCAGAAACAGACGCAGGAGGCCAACCCTTGTAAGATGACACCATCTCTCATCTCTGTCAAATTGCACAAATGAGGCAGCCGTTCCCTTCTCACTTCTGAGAGCAAAGAAGCAGGTAAGGGTGAAAAGTGCAGGGTGTGTACAAAGGACTTTTCTGTGAACTTATCTCCCTTGCAATTTTGGCACTTGCAAAAACAATCTTGGGTGGTTTATGCAAAAGTGGGGGGAATTGAAATCCACCGGTCTACTAAGAAACCATCGCTGCTGAACCCCCAAATGTGACGGACGAGAAACAACGGTTGGAAACTGATCGAAGAGAGAAGCAGCCTGGAACGAAGGAGAAACTTCCTGACAGTGAGGACAATCAACCAGTGGAAGAGCTTGCCACCAGAAATCGTGGGCGCTCCATCACTGGAGGTTTTTAAGAAGAGACTGGACATTCACCTGTCTGAGACGGTAGGGTTAGGGTTACGTCACCACGAACTCGGAGAGCAAAATGGACATTGCCAATGAATTCGGAGTGCTTGGGTGTGGTTAGGAGGGCACTGACTTTTTTAGCCTGCCCTATTTATGTTTCCTGGTAAAATACATGGAAAAATCCCATTGGAGGAAAATTCCACTTAGGGTTAGGGTTAGGTCACCATGAACTCGGAGAGCAAAATGGACATTGCCAACAAATTCGGAGTGCTTGGGTATGGTTAGGAGGGCACTGACTTTTCTAGCCTGCCCTATCTATGTTTCCTGCTAAAATACATAGGAAAATCCCATTGGAGGAAAATTCCACTTAGGGTTAGGGTTAGGTCACCATGAACTCGGAGAGCAAAATGGACATTGCCAACAAATTCGGAGTGCTTGGGTATGGTTAGGAGGGCACTGACTTTTCTAGCCTGCCCTATCTATGTTTCCTGGTAAAATACACGGGAAAATCCCATTGGAGGGCGCGCATGCCCAGAGAGGGCTCTGCGTGCCACCATGGGTATAGGTTCTCCTGCTTGAGCAAGGGGCTGGACTAGAAGACCTCCAATAGACCTTCCAGCTCTATTCTATTCTTTGTGTTTGTGTCTACCCTTTTCTAGGAGAAGAAAAAATGTTTCACCTGCGATTCCAGGCACCCCTATCACCCACTCTCCCAAGCCAACAGTCACTCCATCGAAAACGTCGTCGCACGTTTGGAACGCGATTGGAAGAAGTGGTGGCAATCTGAAAACGGTGAGTGGTTTTGGCTGGTTTTATTTCTTTAGTCAATTTGGTTTGGCTGTCATCTGCTCAACTTCTAATCTGATGATCCCAAGAGCAAAGTGGCAAATCCCTGTCTCTGGATGATATTGTCCGAAAGCTTAACATTTGTTTGTAGCAATGCCAGTTTATGAAATTATCCAACTAAACCAATTGATGGCTTGGAGCCTAACACCAAGCAGAGCGACAGCCTTCTCCTGCAACACAATTTCACATTTGGAACTACAGGAGGTGGTTAATTATTTGCAGCAACATTGAATATTTTCTATTTAGCAGAATAACAGAGCTAGAAGGGACCTTGGAGGTCATCTAGTCCAACCCCCTGCTCAAGCAGGAGACCCTATATCGTTTCAGACAAATGGCTGTCCAGTCTTTTCTTAAAAGCCTCCAGTAATGGAGCACCCACAAATTATGAAGGCAGGTTGTTCCACTGGTTGATTGTTATCACTGTTAGGAAGTTTCACCTTAGTTCTAGGTTGCTTCTCTCCTTGATTAGTTTCCATCCGTTGCTTCTTGTCCTGACTTCAGGTGCTTTGGAAAATAAGTTGATCCCCTCTTCTTTGTGGCAACCCCTCAAATATTGGAAGACTGCTATCATGTCACCCCTAGTCCTTCTTTTCACTAGACTAGCCATACCCAATTCCTGCAACTGTTCTTCATGTTTTAGTCTCCAGGCCTTTGTTGCTTTTCTCTGCACTCTTTCCAGAGTCTCAATATTTTTTTTTATAATGTGGTGATCAGAACTGGATGCACTATTCCAGGTATGGAATACCTGGATGCTAAAGATTTAAAGATGCTAAAGTGACATTAGTCCATGCAATTGTGTTGGGAAAAAAAAACAAGAAGCAAGAAATAAAACGGATCAAAAAAAATTATATTTGAATGTTTGCAATTTTTATTTCAATTATCTGTGACTCTAATACATCAATTCATTATTATCCAAAATTAATGGAATTAGATATAGGAAGAATTTGTGCTTGGTAAGGCTTGCAGATTGGGGGATATTCCTTGCAAAATAATTGTGATTATTCTGATATTAATCAAGATAATTATAAAAATTGCTTGAAAGTTGGAAGCATAAGCCATGCAATTGAGTTACTTAAGCCAAAAAAATTAACCTCAGAGGTACCACAAAATGTCAATCCTTTGGCAATTTTATTTTGAAAATAAAATATATCTTTGAAGTGGTTTCTATAAGATAGACCCTAAATGCAATTAATTCATCAGAAAGAGGGGGGATAAATATTTCTTGTTCCTGCTTTTTTAATTTCCTATTATCTGCATCTGGTTTATTAATTTGCAGGTGTTGACCATGTCAGTATTCAGTTGAACTTGGAAAATATGTTTCAGTTCAGCCATCTTATCCTGACCTTCAAGGTACCTTTATACAAAGCCACAAAATACAGTACTTAAATTATTTAATAGCCTAGCAATTATTTAGAGTGGGTAATGCTAAGGCAATTTCTGCTTTTATGTTTTTTTAAAATAGATATGATGCAGTTCAGAATTACTTAGCTGTTGTTGACTGGGGTTTGTGATCACCTGGAAGGCAATCCACCTTTTTCAAAAAGAATATACAATTCTCATATTTTACTAGCAAGAAAGCAGTGTGTGTGTGTGTGTGTGTGTGTGTGTGTGTGTGTGTGTGTGTGTGTATGCAGAAACACTCTTTCAGCATTTCTTCCTATTTAGGATTTCCTAAATTTAGCCTATTTAGAATTTCAAAACAGGCACTTTAGCCTGACTTCATGATGCCAAGATCTGTAACGGATCCACATAAACCGTTCATGCTTCAGCTACCATTTATAGCAACAGTTCAATGAAACGTATCGTCTCCTGAGCTTTTAAATCTGATTTAATCCGATTAAGTGTATTTACACATGAGACTTGTGGCAACAGGTAAAATAAGGAGAGATCTGCAGTATGTGTTTTAGGAAGAGTGCGCAGATTGATTGTATTTTATTGATGGCTTAGGGCAGGGGTCTTCAAACTTGGCCCTTTTATGACGTGTGGACTTCAACTCCCAGAATTCCTCAGCCAGTGTGCCTGGCTGAGGAATTCTGGGAGTTGAAGTCCACAAGTCATAAAAGGGCCAAGTTTGAAGACCCCTGGCTTAGGGTGTTTACCAATATTTGCAGCTAATCGATCTGATCAGTCTAGTACCAAGTGAGTCTATTTTTTTGCTACCAGATAGAAATGTTTCTATATCAGATCCCAGATGAACAGATAATATATACAGTCAAATGGGAATGCTGGGAACATGCTCTAAAATGGTTGTACCCAATATATTATTTAATTACATCCGTTGCACAGTCAGCCATGTGTTTAGACTGGATTTGGTATTTTTGTTCACCTATAGAGTCCTTCCCAAGGGTTAGGATAGGCAGATGTTGTGTAATAGTGTTAATGGTATTGATACAGGATGGAAGTTGTTCTGAGTAAAGCTGCTGTTGAATGAAAAATCTTCATCAAGGTCCAGTCCAAGCCGGGAATAAACAAAATGGAGACTGCTTTAGAAAGAAGGTTGGAGTTTACTGCGTTGCAGAACCAGACAGAAGTGTGGTTCTGGAGCAGCTGATCACATGGAGCTGGGAGTGGTGGGTTTTTATACCTTCTTGGGCTTTTGTGTTTGGAGTTGTTCCTGTTCCTATGGCGTGAACCTTGACCTGAGGTTCAGTGTGCCCCTTTTGGTATTCTAATGGTGTTGTGTAGAATAGCTTGACTCCTTCTTCTTTGGGGCAACCTCTGAGATATTGGAATGGTGGTTTAGAATTGTGGTAGCTATGCAAGAGGGGGAAAAACAGATTGGAGACATGCCATCAATAAATATTGGGCACTAAATATTTATTTTTAGTTAATTATCATAAACTTTTCTAGGTAACAGCTCAGTTGCATGTTTACTATCCTCTTTAATTGGATTGAGATCCAATCAGGTCACTTTCTTCAAATATATGCCAGTTTCATTTTAGGTCATTGTAAACTCTTGAAAAGAACTCTTTTATAGAGGCATGGTGAAACCTGAATCTGCCCAGTGTTTGTTCACAATAATAAATGGACAATATTAAGTAATACAGGGGTATCAGATGCTTAAGTGTTCATAATGTAAATCTTCAACCAAACATCAATTTGAAGTTGCATCTCTTGCAGACATTTCGTCCTGCCGCCATGTTGGTGGAACGCTCTGCCGATTACGGTCAAACTTGGAAAGTGTACAGATATTTTGCCCAAAATTGTGCGGCTTCTTTCCCCGACATTCCTTCAAAACCAGCCGAAGCGGTTGGGGACCTTGTCTGTGACTCCAAATATTCAGATATCGAACCGTCAACTGAAGGGGAGGTACGTTGATTATTGGACTTCAGTTATTTTGATTCTCCATGCAATTACAAAAGTCATGATGTACAGATCTAGTCAAGCTTCCTTGAAGTCAGAAAGCTTCCAGACCTTTTTTTACGGTTCATTCTGTGGTTAAGGATTGGCCAATAATAATAATAATAATAATAATAATAATAATAATAATAATAATAATAATAATAATGTACTTCAGATCAGTTCTTTTGCCTCCGTGCACTTAACCTTATAAATATTATTTTGGATGTTGGCAGGTCATTTTCAAAGTTCTGGATCCCACCTTTGAAATAGAAAATGTGTATGATCCATACATCCAAGGTAGGAACCGTTGGAATTTTAACAGTCCTTTACCAATTTTTCTTTACTTCGAAACAACATTTTGTGGCTTCTTGGCAGAACACCATTGTTAATAAAGAGTTAGAAATTCTACCTGCATCAGCAGGTAAAAACGTTATTGGGTGAAATGACTGAACAGAGATTTGGAGAGCGTTGCAATGTGAATTAATTTGAAATTAATTTCTACACCTTCGTCTCTTCTCTTCGTCAACTGTTATGGGAATTACAGCTAATCCTTAATTTACAAAGTTCATTTAGTGACCGTTCAAAGTTACAAGGGCACTAAAAAAAGTGACTTATGACCATTTAACACAGGGGCAGGCAACCTTGGGCCTTTTATGACTGGTGGACTTCAACTCCCAGAATTCCTCAGCCAGCATGGCTCAGCTTGGAAACCTCTCCCTTTCCCCTCAGCGTGGCTAGCTCAGGAATTCTGGGAGTTGAAGTCCACGAGCCATAAAAGAGCCAAGGTTGCCTACCCCTGGTTTAACACATGACCGTTGCCGCATTTCTGTAGTCACGTGATCAAAATTCAGATGCTTGGCAACTGACTCGTATTTAAGACAGTTGTTGTGTTATGACGGGGTACTGCAACCGTCATAATTAGGAGTCAGTTGCCAAGTGTCTGAATGTCGATCACGTGACCCTGGAGATGCTACAACGGCAAGTGTGAAAACCGGTCATAAGTCCCTTTTTTCAGTGCCAATGTAACTTTGAACGGTCACTAAATGAACTGTCGTAAGTCGAGGACGTCCTGTATTTCCTTGCTTTCTAAGACAGCTTGCCAAAGTTATTTATTTATTTATTAATTTGTTTATTTATTTATTATGTCAGCCATCTCCTCTACAAGATGACTCCGGTGTTTACAGGTTATAAAACAAATTAAGTATAGTTAAAAGATTTTTTTTTAAAAAATTAAAACAACACAAAGTTAAAAATATTATGAAGAACTACACAAAAAACAAACTAAGACAGTTAAGAGCCAGATGGGACAGGCATGAAGTCTTTCAACCCATCAGCCATCATTATAATAATATAGGGATATCATACTACAGTGGTGGCGAACCTATGGCACGGGTGCCAGAGGCGGCACTCAGAGCCCTCTCTGTGGGCACGCGCGCTATCGCCCCAGTCCTAGGCCTTCAGCTGGGTTTTATAAAACCTTTTCGCTTTAGGCCTCCACTGCTGTGTGCAAAAAAAAAAAAGGTTCAATCAATCAGTCAATTTCAACTTCTCGCGGGAAAAAAAAAGATCTTGCAAAGTTGGAATTGATTGATTGAACTTTTTAGTCCCACCCAGTCTGCCATTACCACCGCAGCCATGCCCACCCAATGGGCCACGCCCAGCCAATGGGCCACACCCTCCCAATTGGCCACACCCAGCCAATGGGCCACACCCACCCGGCACCCGACGATGCATAAGTGGGTTTTGGGTTGCAGTTTGGGCACTCGGTCTCTAAAAGGTTCGCCATCACTGTCATATTACATCCACCGTTATGGATATGATTTGGAGCTCAGTTAATTTCCCATTTCCCCACATTTTCACCCAGCAGACCTGGTTGCTTTTACAAATCTGAGAATCAACTTTACAAAGCTTCACGTGTTGGGAGACACTTTGCTGGGAGAAAAGAAAGGCAAACTTCTGGAAAAATACTACTACGCCCTGTATGAAATGGTTGTTCGTGGGAGCTGCATGTGCAACGGCCATGCCAGATACTGTGGCCCTGGGGAAAATCTGCGAGGGGACGTCTTCCACCAGCCTGGGATGGTGAGTTGAAAGAGCTCTCTCTCCAGGAGACTTCATCTGAGCACAAAGTTGTCAGGGAAACTGTCATGCCTCCGTCTCTGAGGACGACATGGAGTTCCCTGTTGAGGCCCAGGAGGGGGTGTCTGTGGCTTCGGAGGACTGTGGGGAGCAACAGGCTGAAGCAGGCCAGGGCCCTTCAAGTTTGGAACAGGGAAGGCAGAGCTCAGGCGAGGAGCAAGGCCCCTCCCCACCAGATCCCAGAGCAAGGAGAGCAGAGAGGAGGAGGGAACAAAGGAGGCAGGCTCACTTGCTGGGAGGAGAGCGTCATGCCCTACTTTACAAGGCACACCTGGGGAGTAGGCATTTAAGGAGATGCTGTGGGGTGGGGCATTTGCCAGGAACAAACGTGAACTCTTGTGATGTGAGCTCTTGTACCTGGACTCTTTGTATCTTGGATCAAGCTTGTTTCCTGCTGAGTTCTCCTTGCTGTCTTCCGTTTTGCAGTTTGCAGGTTACAGGCAAGCTGGGCATTGAAAAGATCATACTTTGTTATCTGTTTTACTTTAAAGAACTGTTGAACTCCGTTGACTGTTTTATTGAACTTGTGCCAGCATATGTGGGGGCTGTTGGGTGAACGTTGGCGGTGCTTACAAAGACAATTATTCTGACCAGCTAATTGCTTTGCCTCCGTTCGGGGCCCTGGGTCATCACAGAAACACTGCAGTAATATTGTCTGAGAAGAAGCAGCACAGCCTGAGGGTGGAGTCAAGAGAGGATTTAGCCTAGAATCGTTACGTTGTCACAAAGGATCCAAGTCCAATCCTCTTGAATTCTATTAACTCTGATCTAGCATCAATTTAGTGTTGACCGTTAATTGACTAGATTCTGGTATATAGGCACGAGCAATAAATTAGCTTAACTGGAAGTTAATGTGTGATCCTGATTCTTTGCACCTGACAAATACTCCTAAGTACAGCTAGGACAGTGATGGCGAACCTTTTAGAGACCGAGTGCCCAAAAACTAACCCTGCCCCTACTCCGCCCCCACCCTGTTCCCCACCCTGCCTGCCCACAGGGTCACTCACCGCCTCCAGGGCCCGCCGCAGATCGCCCAGGCAGTCCAGCAGCGCCATGGCGGCCATGCCCTCTGCCCGCACCCTGCAGCATCAACTGCGCGATGGGGCATGAGGGCAGAGTCTTGTCCATGCTGCCTGGCTCCCATGTCCTTGGCTGTGCTGCTCCGTGTGGGCCACGCTCAGGGGCGACTCTCCTCCAGGGGGGCTGCTTGGTAGGAGGGGGCTGTGGGGGAAGAAGGGGCTGGGGCAACAGCACGTGTGCCCACAGAGAGGGCTCTGAGTGCCGCCTCTGGCACGCGTGCCATAGGTTCGCCACCACTGGACTAGATTCTGGTATCTAGGCACGAGCAATAAATTAGCTTAACTGGAAGTTAATGTGTGATCCCGATTCTTCGCACCTGACAAATATTCCTAAGTACAGCTAGGACATAGATATCTGAGTACCCATCAGGCTATCATAATGCATTTTAACTCGGTCGTTCTTGTGTCCAAACATTCTACACGTTGGGTGCTCTTAAGATGATGCCTCTTAAAATAGCAGAGTTTGATAGCGATAGGCAATGACCTACGCACATTTTATTGTGGATATGCAGTTTAATCCTGTGGCCCTTGTCCAAAGTTTATTTCTAGCAGGCCACATTAGAGGAACGCAAAGCACCGATGCTGACATGCACTTCCATAATCTTCATTGATGTGTTCCAGGTGCAGGGAAACTGTCTCTGTGAGCACAACACAGACGGTCTGTCCTGTGAACGATGCAAAGATTTCTACAATGATGTCCCTTGGAGGCCAGCTGAAGGATCCCAGGAAAATGCTTGCCGAAGTATTCCAGTGATTGGCTTACTTTTTACCAGATTTTTGGATAATAATCGCCTATGGTTCTGTTGAATATTTAATGGCATGGCAGTATCAAGCTCCGGAGAAATCAGGAGATTCAGGCAGTTCAAATGAGTATAAAGATTTATTGCAAGCTTAAGGTCTCTACAAGAATCTGACCAACTAACAGTCAAGGGAAATGAGCAGGAGATAAGAATAGAAAAGAATTCAAGGTGGGCTAGACTTAGATCTCTTGTGGGTGCGCAGCCTGGTCACCTTCTACAGTCAGACCGAAATTTTATTCTACAGGTAGTCCTCAGTTAATGATCATTCGTGGGTTGATTGTTTGACGCGACGACTGCGTTGAACGCGGAGACTTAAGGCCTGTCCTTGAAGTTGCAGCCATAACAGTGTGCCTTGGTCATACATTGGTGATTTGGGTGCTTAGCAACTGGCCTGAAATTATGATGTTGCAGCACCCCATAGCCTTATGATTGCCTTCGCAATCTCCACAGCTGGCTTCCAATGAGCAAAATCTATAGAAAAGACGAAAGGAAGTAGTAAACGATGATCACAGGACCTCATGCCCAACAACGGCAACCAGCGCTGCTGTAGTAACTTGATGCAGTTGTGTCATTATGGTTTATGACCACATGGCTTAGCAATGGAGTTTCAGGTTCCCATGACAATCGTTAACCGAGGACTACCTGTATTTCATTTTAATTATTTATACCGGTGCCTGTATCGCAACTGTGACCTTGGGTGGTGTAAATACATTAAAGCAAAAGCTGCAACCTATAACCAAAGAAACCCAACTTTCAAACAATTAATCCTGATCACAAAAATCACATCAGCAACGTAGCTAGCCTAATCTCCTGGCTGAAACCTTTGGAGTCTTCCAAGCCAAAGTGTCATGGTTGTGATAGATCAGGGGTGTCAAACTCAATTTCATTGAGGGCCACATCAGCATTGCAGTTGCCCTTGGGGGGCTGGGTGGGTGTGGCCAGGGTGGGTGTGGCCTACTGGGTGGTCGTGGATGGAGTGGGTGTGGCCTACTGGATGGGCATGGCCAGCTCTACATTGTTTGCATCAAGGGTGCCTGTGGGGGCCTGGGCAGGAGTGGGACAGATCTGAGGGTCTCTGGCAGAAGGGGGTGGGATGGGGGCAAGCGCCAAGACATGGTCCATTTCTTCATTTCTCGCATGGTCCATTTCTTCATTCCTCACCTCCCCAGCATGCACCCAGCGAGGCTGGTTCCTCGCTGTTTCTAGATGGCCTTGTGGAGCTAAGACTGAATGCGTTTCAGCATAGCTGGCCACCACAAAATTGTACATTGGCTCCCGGCCGGCCTGGGCCAGGGCCAAGGCAGCGGGGGCCGTTCCCTCACTGTTTCCAGGATGGCTTTGCGGGCCACATGAAACCACTTTGCGGGCTACATCCGGCCCCCGAGCCTTGTGTTTGACATGTCTGTGATAGATGAATCTCAGATTCTTCACTGAGTCAAAGTCTTGCAAGAGGCAAATATGGTTGGGTTCCTCTAGATTTTGGGGAAGATGCTGTTCCACAGGTTGGCCCTGCCCCAGAAAAGGCACAATTCCTGGGTTCGATAAGACGGCGTCGCTTTATGAAAGGGACCAATCTCTGCAGATCTGGTGGGAGATTGGCTGGTGCTATGCCAGATAATGCTTTAGACTAGAGCAGGGGTGTCAAACTTGAAATGTCAGGTGATGTGTCACGAAGTATCGCAACTTTTTTTCCATGGCTGACAATGAAGTGGGCGTGGTTTCACCATGACACATCCAGTCTGCGGGCCGGCCGTTTGACACCCCTGCTTTAGAGGCAATAAAGTATAAATTAAATAAAAAATAATGAAATGAAATGAAACAAACAGCGTTTTATGGGCAATACAATCTGTGCTGCGGCCCCTGTCCTTTGGAACATCTCGCCACCGGAAGTGAGATCCACCTCCCATCTTTCTGATCTTCTGGAAGAGCTTCAAAACTTCGCTCTGGCAAATAGCTTGGGGCCCCGGTGCAGACGCGCTATGCTGGAGATGGTTGAGTGAGAGAGAAAAACCCGCCCTAGGACCATCTTGGTTTTTCATTTTCATTTAATTGTACATTTTAATGCTTTTATAGTTATGCTTCTGGGGGGGGGGCACGATGGCTCAGCAGTTAAAGGTGGTGAGCTTGTCAGCTGGAAAGCTGACATCCTGGGTTTGAGATCCGAGCGCCATGCAATGGGGTGAGCTCCCCCTTCCTTGTTCCAGTTCCTGTCCACTTAGCCGTTCGAAAGCACGCAAGTGCGACTAGACCAGTGGTGGCGAACCTATGGCACGGGTGCCAGAGGCAGCACTCAGAGCCCTCTCTGTGGGCACGCTCACTGTCGCCCCAGTCCTAGGCCTTCAGCTGGGTTTTATAAAACCTTTTCGCTTTAGGCCTCCACCGCCGTGTGCAAAAAAAAAAAAGGTTCAATCAGTCAATTTCAGTTTTTTGCGGGGAAAAAAAAGATCTTGCAAAGTTGGAATTGATTGATTGAACTTTTTAGTCCCAGCCAGTCTGCTGTTACCACCACAGCCACGCCCACCCAATGGGCCACACCCAGCCAATGGGCCGCACCCACCCGGCACTCGACGATGCATAAGTGGGTTTTGGGTTGCAGTTTGGGCACTCAAGTCTCTAAAAGGTTCGCCATCACTGGACTAGATTAATAGGTACCACTTCGATGGGAAAAATAACAGTGTGGTCAATGGGCCTCAGGGTTTAGCCATGCTGGCCACATGACCACGGAAATGTGTTCAGACAACGCTGGCTCCGTCATCCAAGAAATGGAGATGAGTATTAGAGTCGGACATGACTGGGCAGGGGAAACCTTTACCTTTACGCTTCTATGTGCTGCAAGCTGCCTAGGATCCCTTTGGATAGTGAGACAGGTGGCATATAAATTAAATAAATACAGGAAATAACCCCTTTCACTATAGTCATACTCTTGGATGTATCTGGTTCCTACTGTTGTACGAAGGCCCCATTACATTTGCTGTCTGTTTCAGAATGCGAATGCAACAGTCATTCGGAAACTTGCCACTTTGATATGGCTGTGTACCTTGCTAACAACCGTACGACTGGCGGAGTTTGTGAAGACTGTCAACATAACACAACGGGGCAGCACTGTGAGCGATGCAAGCCTTTCTTTTACCAAGATCCTCAGAAGGCCATGACGGATCCTCACGTGTGTATCGGTAAGTAATAATAATAATAAAGTTGGAAGGGACCTTGGAGGTCATCTAGTCCAACCCCCTGCTCAGGCAGGAAACCCTATACCATTTCGGACAAACGGCTGTCCAGTCTCTTCTTAAAAACCTCCAGTGTTGGAGCACCCACAACTTCTGGAGGCAAGTTGTTCCGCTGATTAATTGTTCTAACTGTCAGGAAGTTTCTCCTTAGTTCTAGGTTGCTTCTCTCCTTGATTAGTTTCCATCCATTGCTTCTTGTCCTGCCTTCAGGCGCTTTGGAGAATAGCTTGACTCCCTCTTCTTTGGGGAAGCCCCTGAGATACTGGAACACTGCTATCATGTCCCCCCTCGTCCTTCTCTTCATTAAACTAGACATACCCAATTCCAGCAACCGTTCCTTATATGTTTTAGCCTCCAGTCCCCTGATCACCTTTGTTGCTCTTCTCTGCACTCTTTCTAGAGTCTCAACATCTTTTTTACATCGTGGTGTAAAAGCTCTTGTGAGATGATCCAGAGGGCTGGATTCAGACAATTCGTAGGACTTGCTATGAACTTGTTTGATTTGACTCGCATGAATTTGGATGATGTTTCCAAACCGTTACCCTGCTCCCTCGTATATCGGTATCTGTCTGTCTGTCCCTAGCTTGTGACTGCGATCCGGAAGGTGCTCTGCAAAACGGACTGTGCCAGAGTCATTCCGATCCTGTCCTCGGAACCATTGCTGGCCAGTGTCTTTGCAAGCCCAACGTCGAAGGAGGCCATTGTGGCAAGTGCAAGCCACACTACTATGGAATAAATGGAAGCGATCCGCTTGGCTGTCAACGTACGGGTTTTTCTTTTGTTTTTTCTTGTGGTCCAGGTCTTGAAGATTTAAGTCAGAGAGAAAAACATAGGCACAAGTTGTATTTCAAAGTACTCAGTTGCCTGCCTTGAAATTCTATCATTTCACTGATTCTTCGCTGCAGGGAGAAGTATATGAAGAAATTTTTTACACCGTTTTAAGTATGAACAAATGTTTACAGTAGTGGCCAAAATTGTGGAAACCTTTTGGGAAAAGTGTATTTTTGAAGTTGGATAGCTAATAACACCACTTTTTTTGGAGTAGTACCATAAAATTATACATCAATGGAAAGATAATTTAATCAAGAATGTAATGCAACAAAGTTTGTTCAGTTATCTGTATTCTATGAAACGTTATAACCAAATAACCAGAAAAAGGAAGCACAACTTGCTTAGGTTGATCTCAGGTAGCTTTCCTTCATCTGATTGTAGCCAATGAGCAGGAATGTTTAGAGAGTCAATCAGGTGTCCTCTTGTTTTGGCAATGAGCCAATCAGATCACAGTAGGATTCAGTGATCGATGTCACACATTGAAGCTGAGAGGAGGACATTTGTCAGTGTGTTACGTGATCGCTATCAAGTTGGTTGGGTTTTTGTGTGTTCTTTCATTGAGTGAGCTTGCAAAACGTAATAAAATTAAAGTCATGGTGCAAAGAGTTGACTGGTGACCCAGAAAGCGATGTAAAATAGTATTATCAAGTGAACAAGGCTGCAGTTGTAAAGAAATTAGAAGAAAAATTGGTGGAAACTTAACCATTTCTACTGTACACTTTTCCCAAAAGGTTTCCACAATTTTGGCCACTACTGTAGGTTAGCTTCTGTCACGTGCTGTCCTGAAATGAAGAGAAACAAACATTTTAAGGGGAAAAAGAAACCTTCATGTTTTCAGCTGAAGCACTTATCCCATGGGTTACAAAATTGTTTTGAAATGGTTCCCTTGTGCCTCTCAGCTCTTTGTGGGGAATGAAAGGAGAGTCTCAGAAAGAGTACTAACAACCAGATGACTGCAAGGGGTATAAATCCTTCCATTCCCCACCATTCAGTCAGGACCGAAGAAGCTTCTTGGATGAGAAGCAAAACGTCCTCAAGGAAAAACAAGGAAAAAGCATCTTTGGGGAAAGCAAATAACGACACAAGCATTGCACTGTTGCAACTCAAGCTCTGCCCCTTTGGTAGTGGACTATGAAATTGCACACAGGTATAGATAGGATGCTGCAATCTCACTATACTTGTTACAAGAGCCGTGGTGGCGCAGTGGTTAGAATGCAGCTTTGCAGGCTCATTCTGCTCACTGCCAGGAGTTCGATCCTGACCAGCTCAAGGTTGACTCAGGCTTCCATCCTTCCAAGGTAAAATGAGGACCCAGATTGTTGAGGGCAATTATGCTGACACTTGTAAACAGATTAGAGAGGGCTGTAAAGTACTGTGAAGCAGTATATAAGTCTAAGTGCTATTGCGACATTGTTCTGACTAGCCCAGGGGTAGGCAACCTTGGCTCTTTTATGACTGGTGGACTTCAACTCCCAGAATTCCTGAGCCAGCATGGCTCAGCTTGGAAACCTCTCCCTTTCCCCTCAGCATGGCTGGCTGAGGAATTCTGGGAGTTGAAGTCCACGAGTCATAAAAGAGGCAAGGTTGCCCACCCTTGCCCTATATCAGGGGTCCTCAACCTTGGCAACTTTATGACTCGTGGACTTCAACTCCCAGAATTCCTGAGCCAGCATGGCTCAGCTTGGAAACCTCTCTCTTTCCCCTCAGCATGGCTGGCTAAGGAATTCTGGGAGTTGAAGTCCGCGAGTCATAAAACAGCCAAGCTTGCCTACCTCTGGCCTAGGCCTAGGCCGCTTTATGACTCGTGGACTTCAACTCCCAGAATTCCTGAGCCAGCCACGCTGAGGGGAAAGGGAGAGGNAACATCTTTTTTACATCGTGGTGTAAAAGCTCTTGTGAGATGATCCAGAGGGCTGGATTCAGACAATTCGTAGGACTTGCTATGAACTTGTTTGATTTGACTCGCATGAATTTGGATGATGTTTCCAAACCGTTACCCTGCTCCCTCGTATATCGGTATCTGTCTGTCTGTCCCTAGCTTGTGACTGCGATCCGGAAGGCGCTCTGCAAAACGGACTGTGCCAGAGTCATTCCGATCCTGTCCTCGGAACCATTGCTGGCCAGTGTCTTTGCAAGCCCAACGTCGAAGGAGGCCATTGTGGCAAGTGCAAGCCACACTACTACGGAATAAATGGAAGCAATCCGCTTGGCTGTCAACGTACGAGTTTTTCTTTTGTTTTTTCTTGTGGTCCAGGTCTTGAAGATTTAAGTCAGAGAGAAAAACATAGGCACAAGTTGTATTTCAAAGTACTCAGTTGCCTGCCTTGAAATTCTATCATTTCACTGATTCTTCGCTGCAGGGAGAAGTATATGAAGAAAATTTTTACACCGTTTTAAGTATGAACAAATGTTTACAGTAGTGGCCAAAATTGTGGAAACCTTTTGGGAAAAGTGTATTTTTGAGGTTGGATAGCTAATAACACCACTTTTTTTGGAGTAGTACCATAAAATTATACATCAATGGAAAGATAATTTAATCAAGAATGTAATGCAACAAAGTTTGTTCAATTATCTGTATTCTATGAAAAGTTATAGCCAAATAACCAGAAAAAGGAAGCACAACTTGCTTAGGTTGATCTCAGGTAGCTTTCCTTCATCTGATTGTAGCCAATGAGCAGGAATGTTTAGAGAGCCAATCAGGTGTCCTCTTGTTTTGGCAATGAGCCAATCAGATCACAGTAGGATTCAGTGATTGATGTCCTGTATTGAAGCTGAGAGGAGGACATTTGTCAGTGTGTTACGTGATCACTATCAACTTGGTTGGGTTTTTGTGTGTTCTTTCATTGAGTGAGCTTGCAAAACGTAATAAAATTAAAGTCATGGTGCAAAGAGTTGACTGGTTGCCCAGAAAGCGATGTAAAATAGTATTATTAAGTGAACAAGGCTACAGTTATAAAGAAATGAGAAGAAAAATGGGTGGAAACTTAACCAAAGGTGGCATTTCTACTGTACACTTTTCCCAAAAGGTTTCCACAAGTTTGGCCACTACTGTATGTTAGCTTCTGTCACGTGCTGTCCTGAAATGAAGGGGAATAAACATTTTAAGGGGAAAAAGAAACCTTCATATTTTCACCTTAAATGCTTATCCCACAGGTTACAAAAATGTTTTTAAATGGTTCCATTGTGCCTCTCAGCTCTTGGTGGGGAATGAGAGTCTCAGAAAGAGTACTAATGATCAGATGACTGCAAGGGGTATAAATCCTTCCATTCCCCACCATTCAGTCAGGACCGAAGAAGCTTCTTGGATGAGAAGCAAAACATCCTCAAGGAAACACAAGGAAAAAGCATCTTTGGGGAAAGCAAATAACGACACAAGTATTGCACTATTACAACTCAAGCTCTGCCCCTTTGATAGTGGACTATGAAATTGCACACAGGTATAGATAGGATGCTGCAATCTCACTATACTTGTTACAAGAGCCGTGGTGGCGCAGTGGTTAGAATGCAGCTTTGCAGGCTCATTCTGCTCACTGCCAGAAGTTCGATCCTGACCAGCTCAAGGTTGACTCAGGCTTCCATCCTTCCAAGGTAAAATGTGGACCCAGATTGTTGAGGGCAATTATGCTGACACTTGTAAACAGATTAGAGAGGGCTGTAAAGTACTGTGAAGCAGTATATAAGTCTAAGTGCTATTGCGACATTGTTCTGACTAGCCCAGAATTCCTGAGCCAGCATGGCTCAGCTTGGAAACCTCTCCCTTTCCCCTCAGCATGGCTGGCTGAGGAATTCTGGGAGTTGAAGTCCACAAGTCATAAAAGAGGCAAGGTTGCCTACCCCTGCCCTATATCAGGGGTCCTCAACCTTGGCAACTTTAAGACTTGTGGACTTCAGCTCCCAGAATTCCTGAGCCAGCCTGGCTCAGCTTGGAAACCTCTCCCTTTCCCCTCAGTGTGGCTGGCTGAGGAATTCTGGGAGTTGAAGTCCCCAAGTCATAAAAGAGCCAAGGTTGCCTACCCCTGGCCTAGCCCGTCAGACGTTTCTGCTTCTCACCCAGACGGTGATCTGGAATTCTGTCTTTTCAGCCTGCAGGTGTGACTTATTGGGAAGTTTGCCTTTCTCCATTTGCAACCCAGAATCTGGAGAGTGTGTATGCCAGGAATTTGTCACCGGACAACGTTGCGAACATTGTCTTGTACGTACTGGGAAGTTTTTCAAGCAGAGTTTCTTGCTTTGGACTTTCCTTGGTGTCGTTCCCTTCGTTTTCCCTGCCTTTTAATCCAAAGATCAGAGTCAATATATACAAATAGTCCTCAGCTTGCAACCGTTGGTTTAGTGACCGTTTGAAGTTACAACGGCGCTGAAAAAAAGTGACTTATGACCATTTTGCACGCCACTGTTGCAGCATGCCTGTGTCATGTGATCAAAATTCAGAGGCTTGGCAACTGACTCATATTTACGACGGTTGCAATGTCCTGGGGTCATGTGATCCCCCTTTGCCACCCTCTGACAAGCAAAGTCCATGGGGAAGCCGTATTCACTTAACAACCGTGTTACGAACTTAACAACTGCAGGGATTCACTTGATATCTGCAGCAAGAAAGATCTTAAAATGAGGCAGAGCTCACTTAACAAATGTCTCGTTTAGCGACATAAATTTGGGGCTCAATTGTGGCCGTACGTCGAGGGCTACCCATATATTTTTAATTGAACTCACACACTGGGGTAATCCCTCCCCATTTCTTTTCTATTGTAGGAAGGATACTGGGGTCTTGGCAGTCATGCATATGGATGCTCGCCATGTGACTGTGACATTGGTGGTGCCTACAATAATTCGTAAGTTTCTATTTTAGCTCTTTCACGATATGAGATTGAATCCGCAGCAGTATTCATATTGAAAGTACTACGTGTGGGAGAAGGAATGGCAGATCCTGGGGTTGGAGTCAAGTAAGGAATCAGCCGAGAGTCCTTATGTTCCTACAAATGCAGTGGTGGGATTCAAAATACCTGAACAACCGGTTCTCTTATTGGGTGCAGGCCTGGGCCTCTGAGGCCTAGAACGGACTTCCGGAAGTGGCATTCATGCACTTCCGGTGGGCTGTTCTAGGCCTGGGAGGTCTCCTCCAGGCCTCTGAGGCCTAGAACAGACTTCCGGAAGTGGTATCCATGCACTTCCGGTGGGCTGTTTTCTAGGCCTGGGAGGCCTCCTCCAGGCCTCCAAGGCCTAGAACAGACTTCCGGAAGTGGCATCACACACTTAGGATCAGTTGTTCTAGGCCTGGGAGGCCTCCTCCAGGTCTCCGAGGCCTAGAACGGACTTCCGGAAGTGGCATCCATGCACTTCTGGCAGGCCTTTCTATATCTGGGAGGCCTCCTCCAGGCCTAGAACAGACTTCTAGAAGTGGTATCCACGCACTTCCGGTGGGCTGTTCTAAGCCTGGGAGGCCTCCTCCAGGCCTCCAAGGCCTAGAACGGACTTCCGGAAGTAGTGTGTATTCAGCCGGTTCTCCGAATTCAGCAAAATTTAGCTACCAGTTCTCCCGAACTGGTGCGAACCCAGCTGAATCCCACCACAGCACAAATGGTCTGTCCAACCCATTTTGAATAACTTATCTGGTGCCAACTGACTGCTAGTTGGTTAGATTCTTATGTATAAGTGTGAACAATACATCAGCTTAATTGGAACTTAATGTGTGATCCTGATTCTTCAACCCTGATAAGGAGAGAAGCAGAATTTTTAATAGGAGAACAGCTAAAAATAATTTAAGGGAGGTCTCAAGCACAGAATAGAATTAGATGTCAGTATCTTGAGGAAAGGCCCATGATGTATATGATTTTAGTTCTCATATGATCTATCAGCCCCCTTTAAGATGATTTCAAAGTCATAGCTTAGTCTTCTTTAGCTTCTTTTCACATTTTATTTTCCACTGTCGTTTCTTCCTAGGTGCGCACCTACCGATGGACAGTGTGACTGCCGACCTCATATAGTAGGCCGTCATTGCAGTGATCCAGCTGTAGGCTACTTTTTCTTACCTTTGGATTATTATATATATGAAGCTGAAGATTCAACACCACTCCTTGGACCTCTGCCCTTGGTATTTTAATTAATATGCACCGGGTCACAAATAGTAGAGATTAAGGGGTAGGATAGCCCATGTTGGACCAGCATGAAGCAAAAAACAACATAAAAAAGTAAAATTATAGGAAAAAGAAACTAGTGGATTTTATTTATTTGTGGTTGGCTGGAGTGGTGACCTAGAGGTGAAGATGCTTGCCTCCCACTCAGAAGATTGAGAATCCAATCCTAGGCGGCAGAAGATAGCACTTAGCAATAGCGCTTAGACTTATATAATGCTTCACAGGGCTTTACAGCCCTCTCTAAGCAGTTTACATAGTCGGCATATGGCCCCCCAACAATCTGGGCCCTCATTTTACCAACCTCCCAAGGATGGAAGGCTGAGTCAACCTTGAGCGGGGGAGACTCGAACTGCTGAACTGCTGGCAGCTGGCAGTCAGCAGAAGTAGCCTGCAGTACTGCATTCTAACCACTGCGCCATCAGGGCTCATGTTGTCTGTTAGGGCACAAAGAGAAAATATTTGTTGTGAACTCCACATAGGCATCAGGAAGGGCATCCAGCCAATAAATGCTCAGCTCCTTCCAATCACCCTGACTCTACCTTAAGTAAAGGGTCATAAAAAGGAAAAAAAATATTTGTGGATGCCACATTTAGAGTAGTTTTTCCCAATCTGGGCAACTTAAAAAAGTTTATTTTCCTTCTCTTTCTCTTTGTGGTTTTTATTTCCTTTCATTAGCATAATAACTTCTGAAAATGGAGGTTTAACTTCCTTCCATTGAAATGTTTTTGTTCAAAACAGCAGGAAGTTCCATTTCTACAGGGAAAACTAGATACAGTTCGAATTCTGCCCTTTCCATGTTTGCCTAATTATTCATGGAATGCATTTCTAACACTAACCCTCAGATTCTGATACTATTATCATTTTAATATATTTATAAGGTTCAGCCAACAGCCATGCCGCGCTGCGATGTCTATTTTCAGCGACGAGGCTATGATTTCACAATCAAAAATGGAAAAATTGTCTTGAAGAAGATTAAGAAAAAGGGCATCAGAAAGCTGACAGCTGGCCAAGTAAATTCTGATATTTTCTTAAATATTAAACCATTCGATTCCTAGAATTTATCATTTTATTTCTTTCAAGACAGCAAGGTTTTGTTTGTCAAATTCTCAATGGGCGTAAATTGACTCGAAGTTACATACAAATAGGAATCTGTTCACTTACGATGTCTTTCAGTGTTGGTGTGATGTTTTGTTCTGGCATTTGTCGAAACAAAATTGATTCCCCCCCCCCTTCCGAGCACAATTCTCACCAAGGTATTAGCAAGTTTAAAGAGGTGAATGGGATGGAGTTACAGAAATTCTGGCAACTGAACTATTTCCCATCCAAAAAGCAATTGATACTCAAATATATTAGCAGACATTCTTCTTTATATTTTCTAACTGCCTTATTGTGAGTCAGCCCTTAAGTGGCAAGTAGCTTCACCAATGACACAGGATCTTGCAGTTGGATTTTGCAAGAGACGAGGTGGCAGAACCTGGGGGCGGAGTTAAAAGAGGGATCAGCCTAGAATCCCTACGTAGCCACAAGCAGACTAAGTTCAACCCTCCTTGAATGCCGTTAACCCATATCTAACTCCAAGCAGGTGCCAACCATTAATTGAGCAGATTTCTCTGCATAGGCATGAGTAGCAATAAATCAGTTTAATTGGACCTTCACGTGTGGATCTGGTCTTTTATGACTGACAGTTAATTGTATAATTATCTCAGTTATCAGTCTACTGTTATGGGTAGTCTAAAATATGGACACATGGCAAGTACAATATGAATATATATCGATCTTCTTAGCTTGTTTATTTATTTGTTTGTTTGTTTATTTGACTTCCATACTGCCCATCTTCCTTATAAGGTGACTCTAGGTCAGTGGTTCTCAACCTGTGGGTCGGGACCCCATTTGGGGTCGATCGACCATTTCATGGGGGTCGCCAAGCAAGGCTGTCCGCCATTTTTTTTGTCCGCCATTTTCCCCCCTTTTCCAGCGGGTGCCTTACCTCCCTTGGGCTGGGCCAGCTGGTGGTCGGCCTGCTCCGTCTCTGCCGCTTGCCAGCTACGCCTCGGCCGGCGCAGGGGGCGGAACCACGCATGCGCGGCACTCCCGGGCAGGGAAAGTCCTCGACTTATGACCTGTTTAGTCCTCGACTTACGACCAGTTGGGGTCGCGGCATTAAAAAGGTTGAGAACCACTGCTCTAGGTGGTGCTGAACTTAAACTGTGGCAGCATAATGACTCTAGGTGGATGACTCATTTAACTCCACCACCAGCTGTATCTGCTCTTCTCCATCTACCTTGCTTATCATTGTCAACGCTGCTAACATCGGATGTTTTTGCTTTGACAACACATGGAGATGCAACCATTTTCTTCTTATGTTTTACTCTTAGAGTTAGAATTAGATGATGCTTGGGGGAGGAATGTGCACGAGAGTTTAGCTAGACATAACAATACTGGACCTAGTGTGAGAACCAAGGTTATTGAAATAAGAGATGATAAGAATTGGCGGGCTGGAGAACTGGAGGGGAAGTCTGCATTTCAAACTAATTGGAGAATGTGATTTATGACGGTTAATTGGAGGAGGGAATTGTGCTTTGATACTATGTGCTCAAGGGAGGGGAACTCAGCTTTTGGCTTGACTATGTTAGTGCCGATGCTATGCTACTCAAATAAAGATTCTTTAAGGTAAACAATGCCTCGAAGTTCTCTAAAGAGTTTCATCTGTCGGAACCATGACATTAAGCCAAAAACTGAGTTTAAGTGTAAACGGAGATTATCCTCATTTATTTTGTTTTACTCCTGCTAAAATTGAGGTGGCTGGGATCTTAATCCATTCCGGGTTTTTTAAAACGGGTATGTGAAGCAGAAAAATACAGACTTTTCATTCCAAAGTGATATCTGAAGGTGGGAGACCAGAGACTTTAAAAAGCTTTGTGCTTATTCTGCCAGTGTGTTTCCTTGAAGCAAGACTGGATGCCCTTTGCTATTAGAGTAAAGTTGTTATTTTAAAATCATCTTTCAGAATTCGGTTCCATTCAACAGAAACCCTGCTCTGAATATTGTGATTAAAGAGGTTGTGCCTGGAAAACCTGTGACGTGGTCAGGACTGGGTTTTGTACGTGTGCGACACAAAGCAGGGTTACATTTTTTGATCAATAACATTCCATTTCCGATGAACTTTAATATCATCATTCGCTATGAGCCGGAGGTAATTATTATATACCCTAATTATTTCTGTATTTTAATAGAGATCCAGATCAAAAGCAAAGGCTCTGAAATAAGCAAAGTACTTGGACTTATAAAATGTTTTTAAAAGACTAAACTAAAACCTGCCAAATTTACATTGATTGTCATGTTTATTCCATTTTCAACCATCACAATTATCTTGGTGGGTTTTTTTTCACCCAAACATCCAGACTTCAGCTGACTGGAGAGCAACCATTACTTTTAAGTCTTCTGGTCCTGTGGGAAGTGAACACTGCAAGAACCAAGTTGCTCTGGAAGAACCACGGTTTCTTGATCTAGTATCCACAAGGAGGTCTGTATTCACTTTTTAAAAAATGTAAACGGAATGGGATGGGATGGGATGGGAGAGAAGAGAATATAGAAGAGAAGAATAGAATAGAATAGAATAGAATAGAATAGAATAGAATAGAATAGAATAGAATAGATGGAGTAGAGTGGAGTAGAGTAGAATAATGAAGAGTAGAGTAGAGTAGGGTAGAATAGAATAGAATAGAATGGAATAGAATAGAACAGAACAGAACAGAATAGAATAGAATAGTATAAAATAGAATAGATGGAGTGGAGTAGAGTAGAATAATGAAGAATAGAATAGAATAGAATAGAATAGAATAGAATAGAATAGAATAGAATAGAATAGAATAGAAAATATGGAATGGAATGGAATGGAATGGAATGGAATGGAACGGAACGGAACGGAACGGAACAGAACAGAACTCATAGGGCTGGAAGTGACTATGGAGTTCTTCTAATCTGACCGCCAACCCAAGGCAGGAGACTTTATACCAGAGGTCCCCAACATTTCTAGGTTGGTGGCCCAGAGGAAAAAGAAGGGGCAGGCATGGAGCCGCGTGCACATGCACAACGCAAACAGGGGCAGCGTGAATGTGCATGCGATGCTTGGGGTGGAGCTAGCGCCCACATGATACTCGGGGCAGGGCTAACCCCTGGGCAACACTCAGGGTGGCACTAATGCAAGTGGGGGGCAGAGTGTGCACACTGGTCAGCCATTCACGTGGCCCAGTGACCAAGAGGCCATAGACCAGTAGTGGACCATGGCCCACAGGTTGGGAACCCCTGCCTTGTACTATCCTGGACAAATGGTTGTCCAATCTTATCTTGAAAACCTCCTGCAATGGAGGATTCACAACTTAAGCAGCAGAAGACAAGCTGTTCCATTGCTTAATAGTTCTCACTGTCCGGAGGTTTCTTCTTAATTCCAGGTTGCTTCTCTCTTTGAGAAGCTTCCACCCATTGCTTCTTGTCCTGTCCTCAGGTGCTTTGAGAACTCCTTCTTCTCTTCATTGGTCTAGACTTGCCTAGTTCCTTTAACCCAGGGGTCTTCAAACTTGGCTGTTTTATGACTTGTGGACTTCAACTCCCAGAATTCCTCAGCCAGGTGTGCTTGGCTGAGGAATTTTGGGAGTTGAAGTCCACAAGTCATAAAAGGGCCAAGTTTGAAGACCCCTGCTTTAACCAAATGAGTCATTTAATAGTGAGATAAGAGGCATATAACTTTAATAATCAAACAAACAGCCTACCAACCTACATGCACAGAAAGTCTAAAAGATGTCTTTGTAAAATATGATATATGGTACCAAAGATATATAATCAGTGCTTATTTTGTAAAAAAAAAAAAAAGGTGCCAGAACTCACACATGTCATACAACCCGCCTTGCCTACCCTACAAGGTTCCATCCAAAAAAGGTGCCGGAACTCCGTTCTGGGTGTTCTATGACAAAAAAAGCCCTGTATATAATATTCCATGTTCACTGAGCACCAGATTACAGATTATTCCAGACCGGTGTTTCTCAACCGTATGAACTCTTAAGATGTGTGGACTTCAACTCCCAGAATTCCCCAGCCAGCATGTATTGATAATGTATTGGACAACAACATTCCAAGGATAATTTGATAGCATCTCAGTCGCTTTTTATTCCACCAGCCCTTTCTCATGGACGCTAATATTTGCAATACGTGAACATGTAAACCTCACGCTGGTATAATTAATGCTAAAACCAGAATAACTGTATTTTTAAACCCATCAATGATGCATTAATTCTTTTCCACAGAGTCCAGTTGCTATCCACTCCTATATGCTTACAGCCAAAGACAGAATATTTTGTAGATGTCTATTTTACCAAGACTTCGGGTCCTGAACCAAAGTCTCAGTCCTCCATACTGGTTGATTCAGTAAGTAACAAAACAACTTTTGTTTTCTGATTGATCTAACTGATTGATTGATTGATTGATTGATATTATCTATCAATTTATCCCAATAATTAAATAATTAATTGAACAGTACAGGTAATCTTTGACTTACAACCCCAGTTGAGCGCTGTTGTAACTTCAAATTGTCACTAAACGAAATCTTGTAATTCAAGGACTACTGGTAGAGAAAATTGGGCATTAAAATATATTTTAAAAAGTGAAGTAGATAATCTTTTATCTTCTTGTTCACATCCTGCTTCCCCCCCCCCTTTGCTATCTGTTCTCAATTTGCTCTTTTGTCTTATTTATGTCTGCTTTTATGCTGATCACCCAGGCTTCCACAATGTAAATTTTTTTCATACTTTTATTTATTATTCCATTTTAATGTTTAATATATATATATCTCAAGGTCTAGTTGAACTCCTCTATGTTTTGGGACTTGTGTTATAGATTGGACTCCTTCCTGTCATCGCTTCTGTGGAAAACCTTTGTGATCCAAATGATTTAGAAGAATATCAGCAGTATCGCTGTGTGGAAAGTGCCTCGGAAATTGGACCGCATATCTTAGCGGAAACATGCACAAAACTTATTGCGAGTTTGTCTGCCCGTATTCACAACGGTGCCATCCGTAAGTGTTCGTCTGTCTACCCGTTGAAATATTTTATCTCGTCTATTGCATTATCCACATATTTTATATCCACGTGTTTACTGATGCTTCATTTAAAGTTGTGTTTGTGTTTGTACGTACAGTAGTGGCCAAAATTATGGAAACCTTTTGGGAAAAGTGTACAGTAGAAATGCCACCTTTGGTTAAGTTTCCACCCATTTTTCTTCTCATTTCTTTATAACTGTAGCCTTGTTCACTTAATAATACTATTTTACATTGCTTTCTGGGTGACCAGTCAACTCTTTGCACCATGACTTTAATTTTATTACGTTTTACAAGCTCACTCAATGAAAGAACACAAAAAAAAACCCAACCAACTTGATAGTCATCACATAACACACTGACACATGTCCTCCTCTCAGCTTCAATACAGGACATTAATCACTGAATCCAACTGTGATCCGATTGGCTCATTGCCAAAACAAGATGACACCCGATTGGCTCTCTAAACACTCCTGCTCATTGGGTACAATCAGATGAAGGAAAGCTACCTGAGATCAACTGAAGCAAGTTGTGCTTCGTTTTTCTGGTTATTTGGCTATAACTTTTCATAGAATACAATACAGATAATTGAACCAACTTTGTTGCATCACATTCTTGATTAAATTATCTTTCCATTGATATATAATTTTATGGTACTACTACCAAAAAAAAGTGGTGTTATTAGCCATCAAACCTCAAAAATACACTTTTCCCAAAAGGTTTCCACAGTTTTGGCCACTACTGTATAATGTGTTTTATCAATACAGGCGGTCCTCAACCTACGACCACAATCGGGCCCAAAATCTCTGTTAAGTGAAAAATTTGTTAAGGGAGTTTAGCCCCATTTTATGACCTATCCTGCCACCATTGTTAAGTGAATCTGGCTTCCCCCGTTGACTTTGCTGGTCAGAAGGCAGCAAAAAGTTGATCACATGACCTTGGGACACAGAGACCGTCATAAATACGAGTCAGTTGCCAAGCATCTGAATGTAAATCACGTGACCATGGGGATACTACAAAGGTCGTAAGTGTGAAAAACGGTCACAAGTCACTTTTTTCAGTGCCGTTGTAGCTTTGGACGGTCACTAAATGAACCGTTGTAAGTCAAGGACTACCTGGACTTCTGGAATTTGATTCTTCTCCCTTTTTTCAACTTTGGCATCCTAAATCTACTTTGGCATCTTCCTCCCGACAGCCTGCAGGTGCCACCCACAAGGTTCCCTAAATTCTCACTGCACAAAACTTGGAGGCCAGTGCCAATGCAAAGCGAACGTTGTAGGACGCTGTTGTGATAAATGTGCAGCTGGAAGCCACAGCTTCGGGCCTCAAGGTTGCCTTGGTAAGTAATGGTCTGTGTCCACCTATGTTCCTACAATTATGGCATCTTTTTTTACTGGATACACATACACAAAGAGGCAAACCTCTCTAACAAAATGAAATTCAGTGGTGAGAAAAATAAAAGTTCTACATTTAGGCAAGAAACACCAAATGTACAGGTATAGTGTACGTGGTATCTACAAGGCCCAGTCCCTTCTAGCACTGATGATGTTCCCTAGTTGGGTAATGAAACGTCTGCAAGAAAACCAGCAGCTCAGAGGGCACCCAGGACCCCACATAAACTAAGCCACAAGCCATCTGAAACTATCGTCTTTTCTTTTTCAATCAAGCATGTGAATGTCATCCTCAAGGGTCAGTCGGCACCCTGTGTGACCAGATGACTGGACAGTGTCCTTGTCGATCGGATGTAGCCGGCCAGCAATGCAATCAATGCCTAGCTGGATATTTTGGGTTTCCTCATTGTCGCCCTTGTGCTTGCAACGGCTTGGCAGAACTTTGCGACTCACAGACGGGAGTGTGTTGGAACTGTACGAGGTTTACCACCGGATCTAACTGTGAAAGGTAGAGTAGATGGATGTTTAAGCGAGCGCAAAACTTATGCACACGTGATAGTGACCAGCTTGAAAAAAATAAACAGAATGCAGAGCTGACATAAAAGTGCTTTTTCAAAAGGCAATTGGACTGTCTTGTTTTTCTTTGAAGACATTTCGCTTCTCATCCAAGAAGCTTCTTCAGCTCTGGCTGGAGGGTGGGGAATGGAAGGATTTATGCTCCTTGCAGAGAGCTGGTCATTTGCCTTCTTTCTAGAGCAGTAGTGGCGAACCTATGGCACGGGTGCCAGAGGCAGCACTCAGAGCCCTCTCTGTGGGCACGCACACCATCGCCCCAGCCCCACCACCCCTGTGGCCCCCTCCACACCAGCAGCCCCCCCAGAGGAGACTCACCCCGGGCGCAGCCTGCGCAAAGCAGCGCAGCCAAGGACATGGCAGCCAGGCAGCGGGGACAAGACCCCACCCTCGTGCCCCATCGTGTACAGATGATGTTGCAGGGCACAGACAGAGAGCTTGGCTGCCATGACGCTGCTGGGCCGCCTGGGCGATCTGCTGTGGCGGGCCATGGAGGTGGTGGGTGGCCCTGCGGGCAGGAGAGGCAGGGTCGGGACGGGCAAGGCAGTTTTTGGGCACTCGGTCTCTAAAAGGTTCACCATCACTGTTCTAGAGAGTTGTTGAGGCCACTTGGAGGTTTGTCTGTGTACTCAGGGTCACTTGTGTAATGCAAATGGGTGTGAAGCCTTCTTGGAACTGCTGAAAGGACTGTGTTGTGGAACCTTGCTTTCTGCAGGATGTTTTTTGCCCTGTCTCTCTGCAGAACCTATTGACTACTACAGCCCAGTTAGGTCCGAAAAATAGTACTTCTAGATGTGTTCTCAACTTTGGCAGAATTCTGGCTGGGGGGGTTTTGGGAGTTGGAGTTCACTCATCTTCAAGATGCCACAGCTCTCGATCTTTTGATCTACAGATTGCTTTCACCGTTTTTGTCTCAGGTCCAAGACCAAAGATGACACAGTGAAATCCAATGGAGTCCAATTCTTTATTTGCTAATAGACAGAATCTTGCCCAACTAAAGCTGTAATCTCCTGACCTGATGGATGCTGTTGACTGAAGGTCAACAGCAAGCAAAAGCCAAGTGCTAGTTAGCAAGCTCAAGTCTAAAATGTGATTAATTAATTAGATCACTCATAAAATAGTTATCGATACATTTTTCCTTTCACCGTGGTTTTCTTGCAGACATTTCATTGACAAACTAGGTAACATCATCAGTGCTACGCTCCATGCTGTAACACTGATGATGTTATCCAGTTTAGGTAATGAAACACCTGCAATAAAACCGCCAAGCTTAAGAGAGCACCAAGGATCCCTCCGGGTAATATCTTAATCCAGGCTTCTCTATTCAATGTACTGCCTCCTTTCTGGGAAAGCTCGGGGGCTCATTCTGAGATCCCCACCCCACTCTAGAAAAAGACTCTAGAGACTCTAGAAAAAGTGCAGAGAAGAGCAACAAAGATGATTAGGGGCCTGGAGGCTAAAACATATGAAGAACGGTTACAGGAACTGGGGCAAGGCTAGTCTAGTGAAGGGAAGGATCAGGAGAGACATGATAGCAGTCTTCCAATATTTGAGGGAATCTCACAGAGAAGAGGGGATCAACCTATTTTCCAAAGCACCTGAAGGCCAGACAAGGAATAACGGATGGAAACTGATCAAGGAGAGATTCAACCTAGAAATAAGGAGGAATTTTCCGACAGTGAGAACAATCAACCAATGGAACTGAAGTTGCCTTGAGATGTTGTGGAAGCTTCACCACTGGAAGCTTTCAAGAAGAGATTGGACTGCCCTCTGTCAGAAATAGTGTAGGGTCTCCTGCTTGTGCAGGGGGTTGGACTAGATGACCTACAAGGTCCCTTCCAACTCTGTTATTCTAATTCTAATCCTTCTCCAGGTGCACATTCCATCACAATATGTTTATACGCTCTGTCTTTGTAGTACTTATTTAGACGGATTACTTTTCTAAGATGACGTTTTAGCTATTTTACGTGATGTAGTATTTTTTTAAAAAAATACTCACTATTAACTATGTTTGGTACAGGTGTTTGGATGGGTATTATGGAAATCCTCTGGAAGGAAAACCTTGTCGTCCTTGCATGTGCCCAGATTCCCCAACCAGCAAGGGATATTTTGCGCATTCCTGCTTCCAAGACCCTTGGACCAAACAATTAGTCTGCAAATGCTTTGTGGGATACTCAGGTAGGAAACTTGCCATCTATAGATTGTGCTTTGTGGCTAAAGATTCACAAAAATATCATATCATTCCATGTCTTGTTTGGGAAGCTATGCTACGTTCTAAAGCAAGAGGAAGCAGGAAACCTAAGTAGGAAATTCTGTTTATATAAAACACTAAAGAGTACAGTCACCATGTGCTTTACTGCTCAATTATTTTACTGTAACAGGAAACAGGAAACTCTGCTTAAGACAAAAGAGCATAAGTATATACTATAGATTCAAATGTGTAAATACTGCCATCTACTGGCTGAATACTAGTGTATTTGTTGCATAGAAATACATTCCAACAATGAGTTCCAGCAGTTTGATCCAATGAGCTTTTAGTAGTAATTAACAGGTTGGTTAGTTGGTTTGTATTGGAAAATTTAGTCTTGTAATAACCAGCCTACCTATCAGTACATTTAATTGATTTGTAATTGTGTGTGACTTTCACATTCGTAGGTGACCGCTGTGATGAGTGCTCCAGTGGGTTCTATGGGAATCCAAGGGTAGCCGCAAGTCAATGCCTTCCTTGTTCCTGCAATAACAACACGGATGTGGCAGACCCAAAGTCTTGCAACAAGGACACTGGAGAGTGTTTGAAATGTTTATACAACACTCATGGACCCAACTGCCAATTCTGTAAACCAGGTTACTTTGGATCCGCACTTCTGAGGAATTGTGAAAGTAAGCAATTGTGGTGGAACGTAGTCTGGATTCCAGCAGAGAGGGAGGGGCTGCATGCCAGAGCAGCATGAGACAGCGAAGTTTAGCTTGTGTGAGAGAAAGAAGGTGAAGCCAGCTCCTCCCTAACAGTTTCCAAAATATGTTTTATGTGCAAGTAATTTTATTTAGTTTGGCAAGTTTTCTGTCTCTAGTTTGTTGATTGGGGTATTGTTTGCTTCTTGATTGGAGGTCTGATCTTAATCTTGGATCATCCTTTTATCATGATGTCTTTTCAGAATGTAACTGCAACCTTTCGGGTGTGAATCCAGCAAAATGCCCGCCTGGAAGTGACTTTTGCATCTGTGACCAGACCACGGGCGAGTGCCCTTGCTCACCTCATGTGACAGGCGAGAAGTGTGACCGATGTGCTCCTGGCTACTGGAACATGGTCCAGAGAAGAGGCTGCTGTCCCTGTGGCTGCCATCCCAAACATTCCGTAAACAACGTTTGTGATCAGGCAAGATTCTCGAGCTCCTTGCTTTATTTTTAAAATTAAAGGATATGGTGGAAGGCCAGGGCCCTAAAATGTATTAAACTGAATCATCTTATCATAATACATAATGGTATGTGGGAATGAGCTTGGGAGGCCGGAGCTACAGACTGGGCAGGCAGCGTGGAAAAGATTTCTCTGCCCTCGGAAGGAGGGAGGACATGGTAAACATCTCAGAAAGGACACTCCCTAGTATTTTGGACTGTAAAGGTGAGTGTACTTGCAAGATTCTGTTAATGTAATCTTACAACTGCAGATGGTGACTGCAGCCATGAAATTAAAAGATGCTTTGCTCCTTGGGAGGAAAGCTATGGCAAACCTAGACAGCAGATTAAAAAGCAGAGACATCACCTTGCTAACAAAGGTCCGTATCGTCAAGGTTTTAAAAATTCTGTATATAGTCCTATAGAACAGACAATGCACAGTCCACATGTGCTTTTCTCCTTAACTGCGACAAGGAAGCAGGAAACTTTATTCAGAGAAAACACATAGAGCCGTGGTGGCGAACCTATGGCACGCGTGCCACAGGTGGCACGCAGAGCCCTCTCTGTGGGCACGCGCGGCGTTGCCCCAGTCCTAGGCCTTCAGCTGGGTTGTATAAAACCTTTTTGCTTTAGGCCTCTGCCACCGTGTGCAAAAAAACAAAGGTTCAATCAATCAATCAATTTCAACTTCTCATGGGGAAAAAAAAAGATCTTGCAAAGTTGGAATTGATTGATTGAACTTTTTAGTCCCATCCAGTCTGCCGTTACCACCACAGCCACGCCCACCCAATGGGCCATGCCCACCCAGCACCCGATGATACATAAGTGGGTTTTGGGTTGCAGTTTGGGCACTCGGTCTCTAAAAGGTTCACCATCACTGACAACTCAGATGCAACTACAAAATTATAAACTGCCATCTACTGGTTGAAGAATATATATCTCTACTGAATACAGCTATAGTTGTACAAAATGCATGAACACTGTATTCCAACACAAAGCTATGGTTTCCCCAGTAGTAATGTATGGCTGTGAGATTTGGGACCATAAGGAAGGCTGAGTGCCGAAGAATTGATGCTTTTGAATTGTGGTTCTGGAGAAGACTCTTGAGAGTCCCTTGGACTGCGAGGAGATCCAATCAGTCGATCCTAAAGGCAATCAACCCAGACCGTCCTTTGGAAGGACAGATCCTGAAGCTGAAGCTCAAATATTTTGGCCACCAAATGAGAAGAGAGGACTCCTTAGAGAAGACCCCGATGTTGGGGAAGATGGAAGGCAAAAGGAGAAGGGGATGGCAGAGTAGAAGATGGTTAGATAGGGTCATCAACGCAATGAGCATGAATGTGGGCAAATTCCAAGGGACAATGAAGGACGGGGGGGCTGGCCCGCTGTGGTCCATGGGGTCGTGGGGGGTCGGACATGATTTAGTGACTGAACAACAGCAACAAACCACCTTGCAATAGAGTTAGTATTCATGGTTCTGCTTCTTGTCTGGACTACCTCGAAGGGCCGATGTGTAACAATGAAACAAGCTGCGATTTGCAGCCATCAGGATCTGGCTGAAGCACAATGACCTCGCTTGCGTTCCCCCTTGCTAATCTCTAACTGCAGACCCTTGTTACAGTTTACAGGTCAGTGTTCGTGTGAAGTAGGTTATGCCGGAAGACGTTGTGACATCTGTGCTGAAAATCATTATGGCATCGATTGTATTGGTAAGTGTACTGAGTTTGTTAGACTTATATAGTTTAACGAGTCTGAAAATTTTTGTATTCATTATGGCATAACATACGTACAGTAGTGGCCAAAATTGTGGAAACCTTTTGGGGAAAACTGTATTTTTGAGGGTTGATGGCTAATAACACCACTTTTTTTGGGGAGTAGTACCATAAAATTATATATCAATGGAAAGATAATTTAATCAAGAATGTGATGCAACAAAGTTGGTTCAATTATCTGTACTGTATTCTATGAAAAGTTATAGCCAAAGAACCAGAAAAAGGAAGCACAACTTGCTTCAGTTGATCTCAGGTAGCTTTCCTTCATCTGATTGTACCCAATGAGCAGGAGTGTTTAGAGAGCCAATCGGGTGTCATCTTGTTTTGGCAATGAGCCAATCAGATCACAGTTGGATTCAGTGATTAATGTCCTATATTGAAGCTGAGAGGAGGACATGTGTCAGTGTGTTATGTGATGGCTATCAAGTTGGTTGGGGGTTTTTTTGTGTTCTTTCATTTAGTGAGCTTGTAAAACGTAATAAAATTAAAGTCATGGTGCAGAGGGTTGACTGGTCACCCAGAAAGCGATGTAAAATAGTATTATTAAGTGAACAAGGCTACCGTTATAAAGAAATTAAAAGAAAAATGGGTGGAAACTTAACCAAAGGTGGCATTTCTACTGTACACTTTTCCCAAAAGGTTTCCACAATTTTGGCCACTACTGTAGCAGCCCACTGCCAAAGCCTCTAGACATGTGGGATTGTAGCACCCATCATCCCACAACCAGATAATTATTTATGCATAGAAAATACGGGAATTGTAGTCCAGCACAGCTGAAAAGCTGCAAATACCATAAGAGAGGCCGATGTAAGGTACGTTCATATAACTAGCAACCTTAAATCACAGATAATCCTCGACTTACAACAGTTCATTTAGTGACTGTTTGAAGTTACAATGGTAATGAAAAAAGCGACGTACGGCCATTTTTCATACTTACGACCGCTGCAGCATCCTCACAGTCACATGATCAAAATTCAAAGGTTGGCAACTGGCATGTACTTGTGATGGTTGCAGTGTCCCAGGTCACGTGATCCCCCTCTTGTGACCTTCCGTCAAGCAAACTCAATGGAGGAAACCAGGTTCACTTAATCGTGCTACTAACTTAACAACTGCAGTGATTCGCTTAACAACTTGGGTAAGAAATGTTGTAAAATGGGATAAAACTTGCTTAATGACCGTCTTCCTTAGCCATGGAAAATTTGGGGCTCGGTTGTGGTCGTAAGCCGAGGACTTCCTGCACTGTTATTTTTAATAATAATAATAATAATAATAATAATAATAATAATAATAATAATAATAATAATAATAATAATAATAATAATAATAATAATAATAAAGTTGGAAGGGACCTTGGAGGTCATCTAGTCCAACCCCCTGCCAGGCAGGAAACCCTATACCATTTCGGACAAATGGTTGTCCAATCTCTTCTTTAAAACCTCCAGTGTTGGAGCATTCACCGCTTCTGGAGGCAGGTTGTTCCACTGGTTAATTGTTCTCACTGTCAGGAAATTTCTTCTTAGTTCTAGGTTGTTTCTCTCCTTGATTAGTTTCCATCTGTTGCTTCTTCTCCTGCCTTCAGGCGCTTTGGAGAATAGCTTGACTCCCTTTTCTTTATTGTTATACTAACTTCCATTCCAAATTTTTAATTTTTACAGTCGGCTGCTGAGAGTCCTTAATAGTAGCAGAATAAAAGTGGTTTACGACCGTCGTCCCCACTTATGTCCGTTGCAGAATCCCCTCGGTCATGTGATTTACATTGGGATGCTTAGCAAGGGTCTCACATTTACGATGGTCCTGGAGTCACGCGATCCCCTTTTGCGACCTTCTGACAATGGGGGCAAAGCCAGATTCACTTAACAATTGTGTGACTAATTTAAGAACCGCAGTGATTCGCTTAACAAACGCGGCAAAGAAAAGTCATAAAATGGGGCAAAACTTGACAAATTTCCCACTTAGTAACATAAAAGTTTTGGGGTCAGTTCTGGTTGGAAGTCGAGGGCGACCTGTCCTGCTTTATTTATTTATTTTCCGTCTTTTCCTTCTCACCAATTTAACACCATTGTTTCTCTCCTCGGCAGAATGCAAGTGTCACAAGGACGGCACTCTGACTCCTGCTTGTGATAAAGACACTGGAGTGTGTCACTGCCGCACCGGAGTCTCTGGAGAGCGCTGCGATCAGTGTGCGCGCAACCGCAATCAAGCGTTCCCCTCCTGCTCTCGCTGTCACGTTTGCTTTGATCGGTGGGATACTATCATGAATTCTTTGTCTCGGAGAATCCAGAAATTATTGAAATTCGCGGGAACGCTAGCGGAGAAGAGGAAAGCAGCGCCGGGCTGCGATTTCAACTTTAAAGGCTATGAAAAGAAAATGTCTGACCTAGGAAAGGTCTTGAAAAGGCCTTTTCTGTCGTCCGAGGCGCTCTTGAATATTAAAAAAGTCCAGGACAATATTAGGTAAGTTGTTTCATAGAATCGTAGGGTTGGAAGAGATCTGTGTCGATCAGAATAGAACTGGAAGAGATTTTGGAGGTCTTCTAGTCTAACCTCCTGCTCAAAAAGAGGAGACCCTATGCTATTTTCAACAAATCGTTGTCCAATTTCTTCTTAACAATCTTCCATCTAATCAATCAATCAATCAATCAATCAATCAATCAATCATAGAGGTGGAAGGGACCTTGGAGGTTTTCTAGTCAAGCAGGAGTCCCTATATCATTTCAGACAAGTGACTGTCCAGACTCTTAAAAACCTCCGGTGATGGAGAACCCACAACCTCTGGTGGCAAGTCGTTCCACTGGTTAATTGTCCTCACTGTTAGGAACTTTCTCCTTAATTCCAGGTACCTTCTCTCCTGGGTTAGTTTCCATCCATTATTTCTTGTCCTGTCCTCTGGTGCTTTGGAGAATAGGCTGACCCCCCCTCTTCTTTGTGGCAGCCCCTCAAATACTGGAAGACTGCTATCATGTCGCCCCTGGTCCTTCTTTTCTCTAGACTAGCCAGACCCAATTCCTGCAACCGTTCTTCATGTTTTAGTCTCCAGGCCTTTAATAATCTTAGTTGCTCTTGTCTGCACTTTTTTTTTAACGTCTCAACATCTGTTTTGTAATATGGTGACCAAAACTGGATGCCGTATTCCAGGTGCGGCCTTACTAAGGCTTTACAAAGTGGTACTAATGCTTCATGCGAGTTTATGTGTTTCCTACTTTCTAAAAATCACAGTTATAAATACAGGTAGGCCTCAATTTAGGACCACAAGTAAATCTGAACTTCCCCATGGACTTTGCTTGTCAAAAAGTTGCAAAAGGGGAATCACACGACACGGCAACCGTCATAAATGCGAGCCAGTTGCCAAGCGTCCGGATTTTGATCACGTGACCCTGGGGATGCTGCAACGGTCGTAAGTGTGAAAAACGGTCCTAAGTCACTTTTTTCAGTGCCGTTGTAACTTTAAACGGTCGCTAAATGAACCGTTGTAAGTCGAGGATGACCTGTATTCATTATGTTTGACGTTATTTTTCCCGAAGAATTGATTTCTCCACTAGCTTGATGCAACAATAAATAAATATGTATGTATGTATGTATGCATGTATGCATGTATGGATGGATGAAATGTTGACATCTTTTAATTTCTAAAAGAGTCCAGAATGGTGTGGTTCAAATTTACGTTCCTTGCCAACCTATCATATATCTGTATGAAATTTATTTTTAACTCCTGAATACATCACTTGCAAATACTTTTAATTAAATGTTGTTCAGAGGATCTCCAAGTCTATGTGTGTACACTCAAGTGCCACTTCTGGAAAAAACATACAAATGGATCCAATATCGAGTGATGTACTAAAGTGAGGTCAAGTGCTAATCTTAACATTAAATCTTAACATAATCGTTGACCTATTTTTCTTTTTAGACGAAGAATTTCTCACATGTTTCTGCAACCTGGCCCTCTGGATCAGTTTCCTGATCTCCACCGTATAATTGAAAACCTACACAAAGATGTTGACAATCTTTCTGAAACCCTGCAGAAGAGAAAAGATCTGCCTTGTGGGATGACTTACCTGCAATTCCAGGGTAAGCAGGCCAGGAATTAAAAATTAAAAGTTTTTTACCAATTGAAAACATTTCAAAGCATCTTCTCTAATAGCTCAAAAACAGAACTTGTTCACAAACCATTTGGGGACCGATGCTTTTTACAGATAGTCCTCAATTTAACAATCGTTCATTTACTGACTGAAAACAGTGACTTTTTTGTATTTTGTGTTAATTTTTGTATTAATTATGGCATAACATATATAGCAGCCTGCTGCTAAAGCCTTCTAGACATGTGGGATTGTAACACCCATCATCCCACAACCAGATAATTATTTATGCCTAGAAAATGTGGTAATTGTAGTCCAACACAACTGGAAAGCAGTAAATAAGACAGGCCAAAGTAAAGTATATTCATATAACTAGCAACCTTAAATCACAGGTAGTCCTTGACTTATAACCAGTGGTGGGATTCAGCCAGTTTGCACCACTTCGGCAGAACCGGTAACTAATTTTTTGTTGCCCAAATCCAGAATGGACTTCCGGAAGTGGCATCCACACAGAAAATCGGTTGTTCACCTATTTGAATCCCACCACTGCTTATAACAGTTCATGTAGTGACGGTTCCAAGTTACAACAGCACTGAAAAACATGACTTATAACCACTTTTCACGCTTGTGACCATTCAGATGCTTGGCAACTGGCATGTACTTAGGACGGTTGCAGCGTCCCGGGGCCAACTCAATGGGGGAAACCAGATTCGCTTAACAATCGTATTCCTAACTTAAGGCCACACTTGGAATACTGCATCCAGTTTTGGTCACCGCGATGTAAAAAAGATGTTGAGACTCTAGAAAGAGTGCAGAGAAGAGCAACAAAGATGATCTTGGGACTGGAGGCTAAAGCGTATAAGGAACGGCTGCTGGAATTGGGTATGTCTAGTTTAATGAAGAGAAGGACAAGGGGGGACAGGATAGCAGTCTTCCAATATCTCAGGGGCTGCCCCATAGAAGAGGGAGTCAAGCCATTCTCCAAAGCGCCTGAGGGCAGGACAAGAAGCAACAGATGGAAACTAAGCAAGGAGAGAAGCAACCTAGAACTAAGGAGAAACTTCCTGACAGTTAGAACAATTAACCAGTGGAACAACCTGCCTCCAGAAGCTGTGAATGCTCCAACACTGGAAGTTTTTAAGAAGAGACTGGACAGCCATTTGTCCGAAATGGTATAGGGTTTCCTGCCTGAGCAGGGGGTTGGACTAGATGACCTCCAAGATCCCTTCCAACTTTACTATTATTATTATTATTATTATTATTATTATTATT